AGTGTTGTGCATACAATCGAAACAGCAGCTCAGCGGTGTATATCAATTAATTAATTGCTCGGCCAATTGGTCCGTCTAACCCCGCACTATCGATATACTGCGTGCGTCACTGGTTGCGTATTAGGGTCCAATTAGCGATTGAATTGGCGGCTGTTAACGAAATTTCGCAAATTGTCGGCACCAACGAGCACGAATGAAAATTAAGGGAGGAGGAGTCATCGCGTCGGTTCATTATTAATGCACATTTCATTGTGTTTTGCGGTGTCAAGATATGCGACGTACATCGCGACCAATGAAATTACGTTATCCCGTTGGGATCTCCTTTTCTCTCAAATAACGAACATCCATAAAATCGTCGCGCCGTGGAAGGGACGACGAAACTTTTATGAGAACGGCAAACTCTCCCTCAGCCGAACGATTGAGAATGCAAACGTCGTGCGCTTTTATCGCTTGTTCTGTACGACGCATCCTGCTTCCTCAAGTAAGTAAATTCTGGCCCTATGTTAATCTTTAATTCTACAACACAGTACAAGCTGAGATGGCACAACATAGTTCAATTTCAATTTTTATAATATAGCTTACTTCTTTATATTTCATACTGATCACAAATATGACATCAAAATATATGATGTTAAGATAGGTTGTTCGAGGTAGCGTTAAAATTAAATTGGTAAAATTAAAGGTTCCAAGAAATAGAGAAAAGTTAATAAGCGTCGGTATCATCAAAATAGGTTCTTATTGTTCCATAAGTCATTCAAATAGGCGAAAACTATTCTTAAGAACGTCAAAGTAGCGTGAAAATTTCGACTCGAGATACGATGGTTGCTTGCGACTCAAACGTCGTCATTAACATCGAACATTTTGTTAATCTACTTTACTATTTTATATATTTTCGCGTGTATGTATATATATAACTGTCGGCGTTTTGTTTTAACCGGCAAAGAAACTATCTCGATCTTTCGAAAAACTTATGAGAAAAATGCCTATCTTTCCCTCTCCCTTTTACTGTACTATAATTTCCACCTTTTATACGAGGTTCGTCAAGCGGGAAATTAACACGCCAAGATAACGATGCTCTTTTTTATCCACTTAATAAAATCTTCCTCAGCAAGAAGCTGCGTGTCGCGGCTCGAGCGAGCAAGCCAGCGCGATTTATACCGGCTTCTTGTCCTCGTTCTCACACAGGTGTCTCTCACGAGAATCAGAAACCTACCTGAGAGTGTGTCGAAAATCGCGTAAGATTGTTGCGAACATGCTAGTCTAATTTTTCGCGACATTTCTCGCGTAAGGTTATCGGTAAAGAGATCAATAAGCTCGCAACTTCGGAATACAGAATAAGTACACATTAACACGTTGAATTACGTCCGTGACGGCCACTGGTGAGCAAGCACTACTAGTACTACCGTGTCTTGTTAAGTTACGGGTAAGGTATAATTAACTGTCTAAGAAAAAAGTACTGGTTTCTGGTCGATAAAAGAGCCAATGAAGCTTGGTAAAAAATATACGCACATCTCAAATTAGATTTCTGATCGAGCGGGCTTTTTCGATCGGCAAAGCTTTCGCAGAATCAAACGGAAAATCACCGGCGGGGGACGGTCAGCCGTGTTAATCGGATTCTTACCGACGTTCTCTCACCGTTCGGCGAACGACCGACGATGAAAATATACAGAAGAAGACGGATAAACAGTTCCGTTCGCTTTCGTTCGCGCGACTTGTTGACATTCATGCGCCATGCCGTCCGGTTTAACGGATAGCCATAGACCGCTAGTTTGCGGACGATCGAATGGTTCTGACGTTATCACTTCCGCTCCGCCAGCCTCCGCGGGCGCCGCACCACGCAAATGATAACGACGTCATAATATCGATGGCGAAAATAACGGCAAGGTCGCCCGTTGCGAAATAGATCGGCCGAGAGTGTCGGCGGCGAAGGGGAGCACACCCTACAGCGGCTAATTAGTGTCGGCCGAAACGGATTTTTCCAGGTCAGCTGACGCGTCACTGGTCGCTTCCTGAAATTTCCACGGTGGGTCGTGCCCGAGAAAAGAAAGTATTTTCCGAAATTTACTCCCTCTCTCTCTTGCTCTCGATAAAAGATTATTGCGTCGATTCCGGCTGCGTGGGACTTTTCATCAGTCGGTCAGAAGCCTCCTCGCCACTCGATGTTAATTAGATTCTGCACCCCGAGAGCTTCCGTTGTGAAAGATTCTGCTTTGAAAACTTAACTCCGCGTTTCTTCCGCGTCGTGAGAGAAATCGCCAGGATAATACGTTCGAGTCCGCGGAAGATGGATTGCGAAATATTCCGTAAGAATCATAAATAATAAGCCGGATGCACCGGTAACTAAAGAAAATGAAGGATCGGGACATTTCGCCCTGACGCGCCCCGCCTAGCTTCCGTTAGACTTGATCCGGAGTTCGCGGATGCGTGTGCACGTAAATGCGCTTTCCAGCTGATCCGTCCGACTGAGATGTGTCCAGTCCGTGACACGTCTCTCTGTGTAATGTTTCAGTGAGTTAGACAACGACGGATGAAGCATAAATTACTACGCATCCACCACGTCTCCCGCCGCCATGTATACCGGGAAGCAGCGAAGCGAAATCCAATTATGATCCCGAAGGACGAGACGATGGCNCGAGACGATGGCTCTTAGCATTAGACCCCCCCCCCCTCTCTCTCTCTCTCTCTTCGTCGATGTCCAAGACGAGATGCATCAATTTCGGTTAACTAACACCGTTCGGCTACCGGTCTCATCCTGTAAATCACTCGGACTGTAAACGAAGTTCTACGACGGTGGTTACACGGAATGTGTTTCCCAGACTTTCGCGAGTGCGTATAATTCGAAATCAGTCACTTCTCTCGCTTGATATGCGGGAGCATGTTTTTTCGACGATTTAGGCTGCGCATGAAACGACTGATAATCGATGAAGCTAGCTCGATTTGTCGACAGAGGACGAGAAGCCGGGGGTCGAAAAATTAATAATTCAGCTTCAGCGATTGCTCCCTCGCTTCCGATGTGAGGGCGATTTCGAGACTTTACGGGAGCGAGGCTCGTTCCCTCCGCTTCTCGACTAACGGAGAAACTCGGTTAAGCACGGTTAGTTAAGCGACGTTGACGGCTCGCGTCTCTGAAAGGTCTCCGACGCGAGTCCCGACGCGAGTCTCATAATATAACGGTCTTAATAGTGCTCGTCGGAGCGATCGTAATATACGGCGAATGGAGTCGTCGCCTTTGACGAACTTCCGCGATCGCGAACGCGCAAAGATGGAACAAAGCGGCCGCACGCGATCGTATCGCGTTACTTATTATTGTTCTCAAAATCTACGGTTAGTTTCGAGAATAGAGCTTCTTACAGTACAAGCGGTCTCCCCCATATCGAAAGGCGGAGGGAAAAGTGGATCTAAATAATATAATAACATATGATTTACCCTCGAATCTGCCGTGATCGAAGTCAGGGCGAGCGAACTTACGAGTTGGTGGACGCAAGGGCTGATCTAAATTACAGGGCAACCGTAGTCTTCAATTTCTTACATTTGAGATCTTCTCCAGTTCATCATAGAGAGTATCACTTTCTTTGTGTATTCTGTTACCCTTTAAATTTCTTCGGGTGATATTCCACTCGAAAAGTAAAGGGACAGTCGAGTCGCTCAAATTCCGGTGATTCTCCGCTCATATAGAGTGAGTCCTTCCATTCTGAATCGTCGAGTAAATATTTTTATTTGAAATTGAAAAATAAATACTGACGTGTATTTCACCGTAACGGGAAGAAATTAAAATTGGCCGAATATTCGCTTGTTTATCATCGCTGCGACATCATTGTCGTGGTAATAATATTCGCGTGGCGATCTTCAGCCAAACTACGAAAGTCCACATATGCTATTCTGCTGGTTGTTGTACACTGAGTTTCAAAACGGTTTTAACACTTCTCCTTCGATGCAGTTCAATGTGCAACCGATGATTCAATGAGATACTTATTTTTCAAAACGACTTCTCTCATTGGGTTATCAATTGTGTTTCAAATTGCATCAAAAGAAAATGTTCGAACCGTTTTGAAACCTAATGTACATGCGAAATACCCATCAAATTATGTAAAGTTAATAAGTCAAATATAAAAGTGATATAAATCATCACCTTGTTGACGAAGCTCGAAAAGTATTGAGCAGCTCGAAGTACGCCTAGTTTTCAGATATATTTTCCAATATAAAATTTACTTTTTTATCTTGCTACAAATTGAACACTACAAATTGAGAACTGTCAAATGTGAAAATCCCTGACAGAGTTTATCGAATCGACAGTGACGGGATCAGCGGGAAATGTCAGCGATCTTACGCGTTACACGGTGAAACGGCTTCGGAAGGACAGTGCGCCCGTATCGTCACGTTCGTTACGTCCGAAATTACTTATCCAATTAACCCGGAGTCAGGTCACGTTGACCGGTCCTGACCCGTCTGTGTAACCCATTGAATTCCGTGAGCGGAATCGAGCCACGCTTACGACACGTTGCTCTCATTACTCACACCATCCAATCCGGTGAACGTACACCAGGACAAATAACTGAAAATCAAAGGAACCCCTTCCGCGTGCAACAATCACTGGTGGAGCGATAGTGTGTCGTGCAAAGGGAACATCCAAGTGACAACCAGGGGGCACCAACGGGGGAGTCAAACTCGCGACATGTATACACCGAAAGAAAAAAGTAGTACGGTTAAGTAAACGTTTGTTAAGAAGTATCGAAGTAGTTATTTCACTTGGATTAAGTAAATATTATTCGAGAATGTGGCACTTTCTTCTCTCTCTCGGTGTGTGCTAAGTTCCCAAATAATATTTACTTGATCCAAGTGAAATAATTGTTCCAATACACTCCTTAGCAAATATCTACTTAAATGTAGCATTATTTTTCTCTCGGTATATACGAATTGTATATGTATATATATGTAGGTACATGATAGGGCATGTAAGGACACCCGTCTCACGTATCCTTAATAGAGAAAATTGCTCTTACGCGTGTACAATCGAGATGCACGTGGCTGAATTTTCGCGGACTCCGTCCTCCCGCCGTTTCTCTCTCCCTTTCTCTTCACCCCCTTCACTTTCTACCTTCCCTCCTCTTCCAAGCACTCCTCCGTGCCTCTGGTCCCAGGGAAAAAGCACTTGGATCAGGGAACTTAGCTTTTCAGGCACGGTATTCATCCGCTTACTGCTCGGCAACGGGACCACGCACGGACGCACGTACGTACGTTCGCGAATAAATGACGTCTACGTGGAGGAAAGCTCGACCTCGACGAGTGTCGTTCGCATCGTGACGTTATCGCGGTTTTCCGTCCGACGGGACCAATTGTGAATTTTTCTTACTCGAGAAGCATCAACTCGAGCGCCGGTCAAGATTTGTACCTCGCAGCGAAGGTAAAACACGAAGGAGGTGCTCGAAGCAGTCGTTTTAGAAAGAACGCGCCTCTCGAAAATATTTCCCCTTACGCCGGGAAATTCTTTTGTAAAATCGCGAAAATGCCTTACTAATACCGTCTCATCCTATCGCTGCTCCCAACGGCGCCAACGACTACAACGAACGTAACTTCTCTATGCACTAACGCACGTCTCTGTCATAATGTACGACACATTTCTCACATTTTTGGAGAATGCCGCCCTTTCCGAAACGAATGTTTCGTTCCTATTTGAGAATATTTATTCGGCAATAATTCCGTTAAGTGCTTTCTACCTGGGGTTGACAATATTAACCCCCTCTTTGTCTCTTTCTCTCTCTTTCTCTCTAGTCCTCCCTGTTTTGCCACGCTCTCTTGTCTATTTCTCTACCCTTTCTCTGTCTCTACTCCGCGAACCGAACGCGACCGTACGCGAGCCGATGCAGTCGCCGGAGCAAACAGGTGTTCCCGCATGGAATGCGCGATCGCATACTGACACCTTGAGGCCAACACGCGGCACCGGGTCTCTCCCCTTCGGGGACTCCCCTGTCGTGAACCTCCCCAGCCACCCTCCGGCGCGCGCGTCCGCAAACCCCGAGGAAACGCCGATGAAGCGACGCGATGCGACGTGACGCTCGCTCACACGCACACACAATGTGGTCTTGTAAAGTTCACTTATTTCTTACGTTGCTGCACGAATATAAATTAAAATATGTTAACTATAATTGAGATACGAGAGTGTTAACATTTTTTCGCAAAGTTTATTAACGTTGCCCGCGTGAACGCAAAATTACACGTCCAAACGAAGCTCACGCTGCTAGAAAATGCGAATTTTTCACCGTAATCTCTACTGTGATTTTATTTTTTATAATTGAGTTATTTAGCGTCGGGACGAAAACGATGTTTGTTAAGTAATCAATAGAAAGTTTACAATTCTTCTCTTTAGAATACATCTCTCATACTTCTGATATAAGTAAGTTTCCGATGTAACAACAGAGATAGGGACGGAGGAGGATTTCGATTGCAAATTGGGATAAACAAGAAAAGTTTTAAATACCTCTCAGGATGAAAAATACGATAGTCGAACTCAACAGAAAGGGCGTAGGTCTCGGTAGTCATGTTAATATGGAAACCATTACATCTGGGAACAGGACGACTTATCAATATAAAATTCTTTTTTTTCTCAAATTATTGAAACCTCTTGTTTCTCGCCGGACTCATCTCGATTGATGACGTCGGAAGCGAGGAAGTACACGTTTAAAATGCTTGTAAATTACGTTGAAATAATAAGATACGTACGGTATTAGAGAGGATGTTTGCTCTCTTGTTTTAGTCCACTTGTATTCATCGGCGCTACCTGGGATGTGAGAGCTCTGCGTCGGGATAGGAATACGAACGCACCAAAGGATTAAGCAAAGAACAGTGAAGACATAACCAAGTTTGCGTAAATATATGATAGCATGCGTTTTTTGTAATATAATAAAAATAAATATGTATGATATGCGTATTTTCATGTATACACGCGATATCAACTAAACATATATGCTGAGTAGATATAAAGTTATATAAAAAGAGATAAAACGCTATCTATTAACGATTCTAGCGTTCAAACAATAAACAATATGCGACTGCGACTTCACAAACTACTTACCGAAAAAGCTTAAGTTGTACGACAGTCCGACGCAGACTGACGCTTCGAAAAAACAAAGTGAAGCTCTCTGGCCCATCTGAGTCAAACAGGAAGAAAGGTTTGGGACAATAATTGGAGCCTCAAAAGAGTTCCGAGGAGTAGTATTTATAATTCCGCCATCTTTCGCTCGACGTGTTGACTTGCCAGCAGTGACGTTACTTTACGAATTGTGGCGCCATCTTATGAAATTTACCACAAACTTTTCAAACTTCCTTGTAGATAATACAATAGTATAAATTCAATACTATTTATTTAGAATATTAGATAAATTTATAATGTTATTGTGAAATACCGACGGAATATTGCAATTTTATGTCCTTGCAATGTCTTTGTAATATCATTGGTTTGTTCTTTATTGCTGAACTGTTGAACTAGTGTGCAATAAGTTGAAGTAAGACAAGTATATGTTTTCTCACTTCAACTTACTGCACCAGTTCAGCAGTGCAGCTATAAGAGTACAGAAGTAAAAAACATCCCCAACACCAATATTCGATTGTGGCTAGGGCTCGTTTAGCATTGCAAACGGTTTGGAGCGCTTAAAGAAAACATCAATGCACGCTCTTTGAATATGTGTTGTACGACGAGTTTGTCGGATGTGCTGATTGGCTGTCGGATAGAAAATTTCTAGAGTCCCTAACATTTCCTCTAGATGTAATACCATCCTCAATAAGTAAACATGTTTTTCAAACATGGGCGATTTTGTCCATTCCTATCTCGGATCCTTAGATTTAAGCCAGTATTCATAGTCGAATCTTATATTTAAGACCGTCTTAAGTTCATCTTCAGATGTTTTGTAGCCAATGAAATGAACCGTACAGCCTCTGAAAATAAACTTAAGACGATCTTATATACAAAATTTGAATACCTTAATATTTAAGTTAGTGGATGCTTGAAAAGTATTAGAATTTCCAATAATTCCTAGTAACTTTTATATCAGCTAACAACTCTGTCCGAAATTTAGCATCGTGGACACAAGACCTTAGGCCATCGGTAAGCAAAATTCAACGGGTTTTCACAATTTTCACAAAAATAATGGGTTCTTTCAAGAGACGTTTATAGCTCAGTCTTTAGTTTTCAGATATATTTGTAAATATAAAGTTTATTTATTCACTGCGATGATCATCCGAATATAAATCAAAATTCATTACATTTGTATGTTAAAAATTTAAATGAAATTTATCTAATATATTAATTTATTATTAATGATGAAATTTATCAGGTTATATTGCATGTGCTGAAACTCGAATATGATTATACGAATATGATTTATATGGCTTAATATATTCGCAACCGGTACATAGTCTACGTCATTTCAGATTCTATAACTGAATGCCGGTAATGTAGTCTTACGTCATTTTAAAATATTTAGTGGAGACTTGAAAATTGTATGCGGCGCTCAGCTAAGAGTTTTGCTTCAAAACCGCTAGCTGTGAATGTGTTAAAAGCATGAATCTTCCCCTTTAATTTATACTTTAGCAGATTATCGTGCGATTACCTCTTGTCGAGTTATAAAACGTTAAAACCAAAGAGGTTGTTACATTTTCAATTGCTCATAGAAGCTGAATAAATTGGTAACGATGTTTGTTAAGAGAAGCAAGTAAAATCTTCTCTTTTGAATGCACCTATCAGACATTTTTGATACAAATAAATTTTCAATAAAAAACCTCAACCGAAAGATAAGGTTGAACCTTAAACGAATGATGGTATGAGTCGGCTAAATAAAGTTCAAGTCTCAGCTAAATGTCCACTTTAGACCCGTTATAGCTTAGACCCTTTATTATTACTTCCGAACTCTTCGCTACGAGCTGCTATTGTGTTCTATCGGAAATCGTACAACTCAACGATTGGTTGAGCGTATACTTATTTTCTATGTTTTGCAGTTTAACAGCAAATTAGTAAAATTATTCAATAGGCCTTAATATCAATATTAAATTTCAATAACTTTATTACGTTACTTAGTCTACAGAAAAACGTTATTAAGAAAAAAACATTGTACACAATCTCAACCGTGAAAATTATCCTGGAAAGAGGAATGCCGACCATTACTATCAGCGATATTCAGGTGAATGATTTTTTCACAAATTCGAAAAATCATCAAAAACATTTTAGAATTTGAAAAGAATACCACAATGGGGGCTGCTTGGAGCACGCCTGATGTAAATCGTTACGGCACTGCTCGGTTCGCGCGGCTACCAGCCGCTCGTACGCACAGTGCCGCGTCAGTACATGCGGTAACATTGCGACGTGTGGATCATCGTTCCTTCGGAGCAAACGATTCGGGATCGCGTCCACCGCGTCTGACAGTTCCCGGCTCCGGTTGACTCGCGAAGGTAAACACCGCGTCGCATAATTGTCTTCGAAATCGCGATACTCCCGAAAAGTTCGTTATACGCGACACCTTCGTCGTCGTTGTTGCTCCGAGTGAAAAAGAGGATCAAATCTGTCAACAAGTTCACGTAGACGCATAGCAGCAGGATCATGCCCGCGGACGCCGAGCTTAGCAACCTGCTCAGCAGACGACAGAGGATCAACGACGAGCTTGAGGAGGGCAAGGAGGTGAAGAAGCAGTACAAGTTCGTCAACGTCTACACCGAGTTCCACGAGCTGTCGCGTCGCGAGATCAAGCAGTACGAGCAAACCTTCAACAGGTGAGCGCGGTCTTCGCCAAATTTGTCGTTGTTCGCCCGCCATCGCGATCGAAAAAAGATGTCAGCTGTGATAAGTCGAGGCCGGCTCGTGAACGATATTACGCATAATGATATCACGATTTTATTTATACCGCGTTTTTCAGCCCTTCGGTGCCAGAGTTTGAACTCTCTCTCTCTCTCTTTCTCTCTTTGAAACGAAGAATAAGAAAAAGATGAAAAGAAAGAAGGAATATATTTTTGTCGTCATATTATATTTATTGGTATATTGTCTCGTTACATATCATTAGCGTTTAATTATTATTATATATAGTGTTAAATTATATTAAATTATATCAATTGAATTAATACAGCATAGAGAAATTGACGGTGATATCTATACGTAATATTTACCGAGCTTCTGTCACTTCTGTCGCGACTATAGTTTTAAAATTTCGGAAAAAAAACCGTTTTTCTCCTTTTTTCCACGGATATTTTTGGATTTCATACCTTCTTTACGGAAGAAAAATTGAGAAAAAAATATTTTTTTTCTCAAACTTCAAAATTATAATGTTGACGTAAATTTGAATTCTTTTTTCTCTTTCTTTGTGGCGCGAGGTAAATATGATCGTAGTCGGCACTCGTATCTGCGACTTTAAACGGCCAAGCTGTACAGGTATAGTTATCACTTTAATAGGCGCGCTCTCGCTACCGGCGGTGAGCCGTTTATTTTTTCTCTTTTTCACCACGAGTCAGTCTCGAATATACACGCACGTGTAATCAGATGGTGATAAACGTTCTTTCGTGAGGTTCCTCGTCATTAAGCGCGAGCCATTAATGGCAGCAAAACGCTTTTCGCGTATGTTCGCGTACGAAACTTCTATCAATATGAAATAGCACTTGATCGTCGACGATCTTCGCACTGATTCACACGATATCGCATGGTGTAAAACGGACAGATATGACGTTATTTTCATGTGAACCGTATAACGCGATATAATATCTTATCAATGATGCTACCATCCACCATTTTTATTTTTAACGCAACGATCACTTTTTTTCTTTCTTCATATAATCTCTCTATGTCGTCCATAACACGAATAGTCAGTTATGAAAAGGTTGCGATTCTTTTCTTTTATAAATTTCGAAATGTATCCCGCGTCTAATAGGAGAATTTGTCTTTTAATAATTATCAGGAGATATATTTCCCTTTATTGGATACGAGATGCGTTGCGAAACTCGTAAAAAAAATGTTGCCACCTTCTCGCGATTGATCGTACATATACAACGACGCAAAAAACACGGTTTATTTTGTGTTTTGCATTTTACCGCGTAGGAATTCCCCGTTTATTCTTTTTTTTCTTTTCAAGCCCGATCGAGCTCGAAATATTTCAGATTCGCGTTCCGCATACCGATCTTCGTAGCAGCGCGCTCACTGCACGCGATTTATGTTACAGCGCTCGTGATTGCATTTCAGCGAGCGTCGTTGTCCTCCTTGGCGGCGTGTCTTCATTAGAGAATCTCTTTTGCAAAATTCCCGGTCTGAAAATAAAAAAACCTTCCCTGTCCTCTCCTTCTCATTGAATCTGAAATTTCGTTCTTGGAACTTCATCGTGAGTAGTCCGATAACGTTCCGCTGCACACTATTACCACGTAAACGTCGTTAGCACCGCGCACCTTCTTATTCCGACGATAACGAACATCGTTACGAAACTCATGAGAGATTATTTGTGTAAACTGAAAAAATACTACTACGAGACGATGAGTAAGCGCGTCGTGTTCCGAAAGTTCAGCACCGCGTCCACCCGTGACGGCCTCATGTTAAATAATAATTTCCAACCAACAATTAATAATTGACGGAGGTAATAATTAAAATGTGAACGATATGCTTGTACATTCGTGTGTTATGTGTATGTGTCCATGTGTATGCTGTTTGTTACATCCGTAACAATTTTTAATGGTGTTTTTCATCGTTCTAACTGATTTTTAACGAAGACACGCGTCGATCCAAATAGTTTGCCGGAAAAGTCTCTAAGAAACACTCAAAGAAGAACTGTTTTGGTAGAGGAATTCCAAACTCGAAGAACAAACCACCAAGGGGTCGACCTAAAAAGGTACCTCGACGCGGACCGTAACTTAAGCTCGCTGCTTAAATCACGACCCTGAACTCTCAGCCATGTCGAACACGTTTTGGTTCCCGTAAAGAAACGGAGATAATCCCAGAATTCTTAAGCGAATCGACCGATTCCCGGAGCCTTCCCTTTACGGGGACAAAGAGAATCGTATTATCTCTATTCTCTATTCTCTGCTTTTTTTCTTTATTTTATCAAACTGCTTCTCTTTGCCGTCGCGATATGCTGTACTCTTCGAGGTATCTCCGAGCAAGTCAAGAGGAGAGGAATGGGAACCCCATCGTCCGCGTAACATCTCTCCGGCCGCGTCGTTGTCAAACCTGCTGCCAGGTTGACTCCGAAATGCCTACCTACTCCGAGACACAAAGGGCGTAGGTACCGAGGATGGGCGAGGGGCCAGGCGCGGTAAGGGGGGAGGGGGGGCCGGGGGACCCCGAGGTCGTCTGCCCTCAGCGCGCAGCTTGCGTTTCTTCTCTCCCGAAGAAATGCACGTCACGAATCCACCGGTTCGCGTTCGCGGTTTCGTAATGATCGAGGCGTGCGACTCCTCTCTCTCTCTCTCTCTCTGGTCTCTCGTTGTAACCTCTCTCGCGATTTTCTCCCCTTCTCGGCGCACCTCCTCGTCGGAAAATTACGTGAATTCACTTCTCTCTGTTTCTCCTACTTTCTGACTCCTCGCGTTTCTCCGATAATGAAGCTAAAAACTACGCGGCCGTAGCCCGCGGCGAGGATAGCAGGAGTGTCGATGAATGAACGGCGGTCTTTGAGTCGCGATGAGTCTACCTCGCTGGAAAACGTCACTCATTGTCCCTGCGCGGTACGTGGCGGATGGGGAGTACGGCGGGAACGAAGCGGCTAAATCGGGGATTTATTTGAGCGAAATTAACTTTACGCGGAACATCGTCAACGTGGAGAACTAAAAATACGAGTTTCAGGTATCGTTCTCGTTGCCATGCCAGTCTTATCGCCACGCTGAAATTTCGCAGCGTGTATTGCGCGACGTTTCGACAGAGTCTCGAACAGTCTCCACCCGACTTCGCGAAGGGTGGACGCGTGGCCGTGACCCTCCGCTCAAAGGTCGAGTGTGAAACGTTAATTCGGGCGAATCGAGGCGAGGTTTCGGCGAAAATATGTCGCCCGCGTCTACGCCTACGATTCTCACGGCGAGGGCCGGGCAAAAGGTAACCGGTTTCACGGCGATAAGACAAGGACGACTCCTTCGAGGAGAGAACGCGACGCAGATGCGCGGCAATCATCGGCCCTTCCGGATGACGTATCGCCGCACGCGGGATACGCACGTGCGCGCTGCGGGCGACGGAGCGAAACACTCGTGCTGCTGTCGCGAGCCTTTTACCTCGCGGCTGTTCCAACGGAAAAGAAGAGTTAATCCGGATCGTATCGCAATACGTAGAGCTGAACTAATCGACACGATGTGCTCGTGGTAGCAAAAGCAGCTGCACGACCGGAAATGCTAATTTGGCCGATTTTTAGCTAATTTTAGCGCATTGAGATTTAACTACGAATTTATAAGCATTGCTCCAATGATTACCATATTTTATTGATACGCTAACTTTTACCTAAATTATAGATGTGGTATGTGTATGTAAATATGGTAAACATGGACTTTGCTATAATAACAAAATTATTTTTTCCGTAACAAATCTTTTTGCTGTCACTATATTAACAAACAATTTGCTGTTCCGGCAAAACTTACTTTCTCCGTGAAGACTTTCTTATATGTATATAATTTTGACATTTTTACAATTTGCCATTTTTGAGCAATAGTTGTGCGTTAACTTAGGAGATAAATCTTTTCAACTTTTATATTGAGATGAAATTGTTTGGGACGACTTAAAGGATATCTGTCACTAAGCGGGACGTCCGTCATATATTTGTAGCTTAGGTCAGGGATTTCCAAAGTATAGGTCGCGACCTACTACTGAATCGTGAGCCGGTTTTTGATGGGTCGTAAAAAATTTAGAATATTAAATTACACTTCATTACTTCGCGTAGTTTTACAAATTTAAGCCGGATACTGATTTATTGCGTATCCTCATAACGTATCAATGTATAAATTAATATAAATAAATAATCGGTTTACTCCGCTCCCCCCTTTTTATATCTGCTAAAACTAGGTGGGTCATGGATGTTTATCATTCTAAAAAATGGGTCGCGGTCCACCCAAATTTGGGACCTGGTTTAAGTTAATATGAACGAACAAGTCTTCCACCATTTTGCAAATAACCAAAACAATCTTTACTATTTTGCAAAAAATACGCACACTTTTTATAATAACGCAAGTTTTTGTTTAAAGAAGCCTCTGTACATGGCCATTTGCAATAATAAATAATTCAAAACTTTACATGGTTCTTTGTAAAATGGTAGATGACTTTTTTGTTAACATTGACTTAAACTACAAATATATGATAAGATGTCCTATGTTAGCGATAGACATCCTTTATATACGAATAAAGATTAAGATAAAGAAATTATTCTCGGAATGACCATTTAATAGTTTTAATAGTTGCAATTATCGTTTACTTATCAGTAGTAGGAAATGAAGTCCCGTCTGCTATTTCGGAGATTTGTGATACAATCACACAGATTGCGTCTCAAACTCTTCGTATATTTTCGTCGTACAAACTTCAAATCCCGCAACTGGACACGTAATTCACATTTAACACTCGCTGTTTACTTCCTGGCGACAAAAGAATACCGTTAAAAGGTTACAAAAGTACGACTCGTCGAGCTCGTCGTCGCGGTTTAACGGCAATCCGATACGAACGCCCCGTGTTGCCTTCTTAACCGAGCCGCGTTCTGAAATAATAAAAGTGATCTCACACTTCTTGATCGCGGTAACCCGAGACGTACACCATTCATATCGTCCAGACG